ATATAAAACCCTGAGGCCAACAGAAAGGAAGGTAGCGACCTAAGTTCACTTAGTCATCAGTGGCAGAACCAGAATGAAAACACCCTGTAAATCCAATCTACAACCTAGGAGTGGTTAAGCAAAAGAAAACAAGGGCTCCAGGGTCAGCTAATCTGACTTCCAGGTCCAAGGCCATCAGTCACCAGCCATGGATAAGCAATATAGGCAAAGCACGTTAGCTAACACAGAGTTGTCAAAGGAATATGTGTTTCAGTCCCTACCTCAAAATAAGCCAAAACCAGAGAGGCAGAGAGGACCGGCAGCACTGCCCTGTTTTTCAAACCCACCCGATGGGGCATGTGACAAGGGCCCAGACTTCGGTGGCCTAGACAAACTCTCATGCCTCCCCAGCAGTAAAATATCCAGAGAGCCTGAGGGCCAAGAAGACCAATTTGTTCAACCTGAGCAGAAGAAGAAAAGTTAGACTGTACCAGTCTAACACTCACCAGTCCTCTGTCCACACCAGCTTCCTGGGGATAAGGACGTCAGTCAGGCACCTAGAAGGAGGAAATGGTGTTAGCTGTTCTGAACTGAGTTGATGGACCCAGCATGAAGCTGGAAATTGAAAGGCTGGCATTTGACTCTCTGAGGAACCTTGGGGAAGTTGCTGAACCTGTTAAACAGAAAAGCCTGTGTGACTATGCAGAGAGTAAAAGGGAAAGTAACAAATATGAAGCTGGAGCAGCCAGCCCAGGCCGTGAAGGGCCTTTGGAGTTCAGTCTTGATTCTAAGAGTAGTGGGAAATCATTGATTTGTAGAGTACAGAATGGACTGGAAATAGGCAAGACATGAGTTAGGAGGTCGCTGTGGGTGTCTAGGGGGCATGTGACAAGGGCCCAGATTCGGTGGCTCAGTAGAGCTAGAAAACATAGATGGAGTCAAGAGATATTTAAGTGGTAATACCCACAGAACGTCATCGTGGACTGGATCTGGAGGATGAGGGGGCGCCAAGGCCTGCCTACCCTCAGGCGCTTCCTGCCTCGTTAGTCCCATGGTCTCCAGCACCCAGGAAAAAAACGTACTATCACTTTCTCAACCTGGCCTATCTTTGCCTCAGTCTCTCCATCTGTAAAATAAATACGGTTGGACTCAGTGGTCCCTAAGGTATTTTTAGCATTAATATTCTGGTCTAATTCACTCACAGAGTATTTAAGCCCCTTTTCAATCATCTGCAGGCCTGGCATGATACACATGGGGCAGGACTGTTGGAGGAATAAACCTCAGGTGCCCTGGACTCACACACTCAGAACAGTACATTTCCAGGCTGAGGTGTTTCCACTTCACAGAGGACACAAGAATCAGGCCAATAGAAAGGTCACTTGGGCTAGGTCGGAACAACAGGAGGAGAAATTGTGTGCCCAGGTACCTTCTTCCTGCCCCAGCTCTGGAGGTGGACATGGGCCTCAGGACACTGCCACTCCAGCTATAACATCAGTCACCCTGTAACCTGCTTCCCCATTCACTGTTTCCTAGCACCCAAGCTAACCCTGGGAGGCCAGGTAGTAAGCATGTGTGGGAGGCAGTGCAGTACAGTGGTTATCGACCTGTTTTGAATTCTGGCTCCACAACTTTATAGCTATATGGCCTAGGGCAAGTCACCAAACTTCTCTGAGCACTAGTTTCCTCATTTGGAAAAGAGGAATAATATAGTGTCCGCTTCCAGGGCCGGTGAGAGGATTCAATGAGATGATGCACGTGGAGATTTCGGCACAGTGCTTAATCACAACAATCCAGGAGGCAGTGGCATCCAACACAGATGTGGAAACTAAGACCCAGAAAGGTGAATGACACACTGAAGACCAGTACAGCAAAGCAGTGCAGAGGTGAGACCCAGAACTCAGGTTCTTAACCACTTAGGTTGTATGTGCAGCATTTTGGTTCCTGCTTTTCAGATGAAGTTGAGACTGAAAAATTACAAGTGATTTGACTAAGACTACAGAGAGAATTAACGCTAAAAGAGGGATTTGATCCCAGGCCTCCTTCATGAAAAAGCCTAGGGTCTCCAGAAAAAGCCCATGTGCATCCAGAAAGTAGATGTACATGGAGACCAAATTTTAGGGCCCTTTAAACCTGGAACAGGGACAAATGCAAATGTGGGCAGATTTGGGGCAGGAGGGAGTTACCTTGAGAGGAAACCAGAAGGAGCTGGTGAAACAAAAGCGTCTTTTTCAGAAGGCCTCCCTGGGGCCTGGCTGGGAGAGGAGGGGGCTGACAAGCAGGGCCATCCACCCTGCCAGGGCTGAGCTGAGGGCTGGATCTAAACAAACAGAAACGGTTCCAGCTTGGCCATCAAACTGCTGTGTGATCCTAGGCAAGACAAACATACACACACACACATACACACACACACACACACACACACACACTCTCTCTCTCTCTCTCTCTCTCACACACACACACACACGCACACACACACGCACACACACACGCACACTCAGTTCTCAGTCTCTTCAACTCAGGAATGAGATGGTTGTACTGAATGGTGTTGAGATCCCTTCCAGTTATCAGAGGCTAATAATAACCATTCCTCACAAGCTCCCGACTCCTGATTGGGCCCTGCTCCTACAACCCCAAAAGGTGGCCTCTTAATGCTAATTCCAAAATTACTACAGTAGGGTTGGGAAGCCCTGCATCGAGGCTCTGGCCACATCGCCAGGTCACCTCCCCTCAACAGGCCTCGGCTTCCTCACCTATGAAATGGATACATATCTATGCCTGATCACCTACAGAATAGGACGATCCAAAGAGCTACCTCAAAGGCAAGAAATCCCCTGAGGTAACAAACAAAGCATCTCCCTAGTCCCCATCCCAAATCCACCCTCAAGGTCTTTTAAATTCTCCTCCTTTCGCTCGGGTCCAAGTCACTTTCAGACACATGGAATAAGAGAATCCAAGGTGACAGATGCAACAGCAGTAGCAACAACCCCCACAATTAATAGTAGTAGCAACCACCACCACAGCTAACACCTGAATACTCACATGGGCCAGGCACTGCGGTAGGTGCTACACTTGGACTATATCTCAGGGAATCCCCTCAATCAATGAAGTAAACTCTACCATTAGTCTAGATATACAGATGATAGACTAAGGTTCAGCAAAGTAAAGTGACTTGTCCAAGGTCACACACACAGCAAGTGAGTGGCATGGCCAGCCAGGAGCCGGCTCTTCATTTGACCTCAGAAGTTTTCATCTTATACTTGAGGCTTTGGAGTTTCCAGGGTAACATTCCACCATGGGGCATGGCCCAGATCTAGGGGGATAGTGAGTGGGGGATAACTGATCTTCGCCTCCCCAAATAACTAGTCTTTATAGTCTTGTATTATTATTCAAATGTGTCTTTCTCAACTCTCTGGCTGGAACAGTGCTGTCCAAGAGAAACACAATTCAAGTCACATAAGCAATTTAAAATTTTCCAGTAGCAGCATTTTAAAGAATACAAAGGAATGGATAAAATTAATTTTAATAGTGTGTTTACTTAACCCAATTTGCCCATTTCAACACAAAATTGATATAAAAATATCATTGAGGTACTTTACATGATTTTTTTCACACTGAGCCTTCTGAATCTGGTGCTTACATTTAGAGTACATCTCAATTCTGACACTAAATTTTCATTGGACATTTAGATTCTCTTAGCCTTTATGATTGAAAAACTATATTCATAAATCTAAGTTCCCAAACATACGTATACGTTTTTCAATAACTGAATGGAGTATTTTTTTAATTTTAAATTAATCAAATAAAATTCAGTTCCTCAGTGGCATTAACCACATTTCGAGGGCCCGAAAGCCACATGTGGTTGATGGCTACTGTATGGGGCCGTGTAGCTCTAGACCAGGGGTCCCCAACCCCCGGGCTGTGGACTGGTACTGGTCTGTGGCCTGAACTTGGCCACACAGCAGGAGGTGAGTGGCGGCAGGCCAGCGAAGCTTCATCTGTATTTGCAGCCACTCCCCAGCACTAGCATCACCACCTCAGCTCCACCTCAGATCATCAGGCATAGATTCTCATAAGAGCACCAGTCCCTGGTACCAAAAAGGTTGGGGACCGCTGCTCTAGACAATCAAGTCCTAGAGGATGGGGGGGTGGCCTCCAAGGCCCTAAGCCAGAGCTAGGCCTCCCAAGGTAAAGTTGAATCTGAATAGAATGCCATCTATTCATTCAACAAGCCTCTGCCGAGCCTAATATTAATATCTATATCTATTTACAGCCTAAAAACTTAAATACTAAGCCTAATATTAATATTTACATTTGAGGTTTATTATATTCACAGTCACGGTAACAAAGGGATCAGAGTACCCACTGTTCGGAGGATGACTGTGGCTCACAGAGGTGGGCCACCTGCCCAAGGTCACCCAGCTTTGACCCTGGACCTATTTGACTAGGAAGCCTGAGCTCTGTCCCTAAAGCTTGATAGAGGTGCCACCTAAGGCTCTGCCTTCTACAAGAAGAAATAAGCCTTTGCTACTATTCTCTGGGACCCCATTTCCCCCAGGCTTGTGGCAGAGAATGGCCTAGAAGAGGACACCCAACGAAGTGGGTAAAATAGAAAGAAAGCAGGAAAAAGACATAGCATAGCCTGCACCAGGTGGCAGTCCTGTGTACAGGGCTTAGGCCACTGTGGCGCCTTTCCCCACCACCTCCCACACTCCTACCCGGCAGGAGGCAAAGCCAGCAAGGTCTACTGGCTGCTTGCCCTCTGGGTGGGTCCTGGGGCTAGGCACCATGCCCTCCCTGGCACCTCCCCCAAAAGCACTCACTCAAAGGCCCTTGGACTAGGGCCAGAGCCAGTACTCACCTCCCAGGGTCACCTCAGCTGGAGTCCAGGGAAAGGATCCAAGAGGCAGCCCTACCGCTAGAAGGAGGGGCGGAGCTGTTCTGGAGTCGACTAGGAGTAGGGAAAAGGTGGAAGGTACAGGCCAGAAAACCTGGGTAGCTCCACCCCTCTCCTGGGGAACAGAGCTAGCACACAGCCTAATGGCAGGGTGAAACTCTCACCAGCCATTAGGTTT